TACGATAAAGTATAATGAGCAGGACATACCACACATTTTCCAAAATCTACTCGATATATCTCTCTAATAAGAGATTCAGAAATTTACACTGATTTACATATCTCGATATAAAATACGCAGAATTTTGTATCGAGATATGTAAATGTATAATGTAAATATACGTTAATATTAATTCTTGAAAAATTTAATATACATAATAAATTTAATAAATATATAAAGATAAGTAAGATAAAAATAGGTAAAAATTCATAATTATATTTAAAAAATTAATAAAACAGCTAAATACAAGATAATTATCAAATGTTTTGTTGAATTACAAATTAAATATAATATAATTTTTAAAATTTAATTCTATTTCTTGTAATTTTTATTAAATTTTAGTATCAAAGTATCAAGTATCAAGGAATCAGTCTATGTTAAATTTAATTTATTAAGTAATAATATTTGAAACATGACTTTTATTCTACTTCTGTTCTGTAAAGACAACTCAATTCAATTTTTTCATTTCTTTTAATCTGGAATTGCCAATTTGAGGAAAAGTCCTAAAGTTAATTGTGCGAGATGCTCTATCTTGACAGTGGTTCTTTAACAAAATTTATAACTCATTTACGATCGATAGAAAGATAAAGTGGTATCTCCTGTCCCGTAATACAATAAAACTATATTACTTGTGTGTGTAGCTTTCGTTCTTTATCGATTGCGGGAACGAAAACGAAGTATATATTCCAGTAACGACCGAAAGTTGTTTCGGCTAAGTCTCGCGTTCACCCTCCGTATCTCGTCGTGCTTGGAATTCACTACTGAACGTATCATACGATTGATAATTTGGAAAAATAAAGTTTAAGCGGCCAGAATAATATCTTGTAATATGAGCAGCGTATCAGCATCGCAAAAAATACAGGTAGAATGTGGAAAGATCAAGCGCGTACAGACATCAATTTATTATCGAAGCTATCGGACGTTATGCTCTTCGAGAAAGAGAGAGAGAGAGAGAGAGAGAGACGCGATAAAGTTAATAATAAAAAAATTGTTGATAGTAATG